TAAAGTTCTTCCACGTTAAACTTTGCATCAGAAATTTCAGATCTTTGTGCAAACAGACACCTCTCATGTACTGACACAGCAGTACACAAGCCCCAGGGTGGATTTTGGTATCCTGGTCAGGCTTGCTTTAGAATCCTGGAATCATGGAATGGTTTGGGTTGGAAGGATCCTCAAGCTCATCTCTTTCCACCCCCTTCCATGGGCAGGGACACCTTCCACTAGACCAGGTTGCTCAGAGCCCCTTCCAGGCTGGTTTTGAACACTTCCAGTGTGTTCCAGCCCTGAGGAACAGCAGTCTCAGGGTTAGAACCACATGGAGTACCTTGAGGAAATGGGGAGGGAATGGAAGTGGGGAACGCAGTAGATGTCCACAGTTTATCTGCTCAAGGAACAGCAAGATGAAAAAAATCCACAAACCTTTAATTGTGAATGTAGGAGAGGGACAGTGATGTAACTGTTCCCAGGGAACACTATTCTTATTTTGTAGAGGGAGGTGAGCCAAGATACTTAAGCTCTAGAGAACCTTTAACACAGGAAGCTATTTATCATAACAAGCTTGGTTGATACTGCTCCCATACTGAACCAATTAGATTAGCCTATTTCGTCATACTTCATAACTTGGGATGATAGGTTTCCAAGCATGGTACAGTGCAGTAATTGAATTTTGATCAAACACACATGGCCCATAACCCAGTATGTGAAACTTTCAGAACAGTTCACAGCTTTTAAATATCCAGTCAACATGTTGCCAAAAGTACAGGATGTACTTGATGCAAGTGGGAGAGGAGGGGGGGAGCACGAGTCCACGCCGTAACTTGGTACAGCTGTAAAACAAACATTTTTTTGTTCCGATTCTGTTCCTACTTTAGCAAAGGAGCTGGGAGGAAGACAGTGAATGTCAAGTAAGTCGTTTTTTCTCCCCAGCCCCCACGCCCCTCAGGCACACATTCCCCTTTTAACATTCTTAGATTACCACAACCTTTTAAATTCACTCTACTGTACTTACATACTGTGTTAGACACACCAGCAATTATGGTTGTTAGCATGACACATCCATTGCCTACACTTAGTTAACAAAATAACTTAAAAGTCGCATGCATCAGCCTCTTAATAGGGCTATAATCAATGGGACCCTGGAATTAAAACCCTAAAAATTACCCCCCAACCTCTGCATTCCCCAGGTCTCTGCCTTTGCCAGCACAACCCACGTGGTGGGCAGTCTTGTCCAGCTCAAGGTGAACACCCAGTTTTTCAGTTCTCAGCGTTCTCTTACATCTTCCTGACATATTTTCCCCATGGTAAATTCAAGGAACTTTGAAGAAAGCCCTGTAAAGGAAGCAGAACACATTAATAAACACAGTCCTATGGCTTTACTGGCTCGGATACAAAGCACCCACTGCAGAGCAGGTTTGTGGCATGGGAAATGCTGCACCAGAGTTTCTTAGGAGCAAGTGGTGGCTGTCCATATCAAAGCTGCTCCCTGGCCTAAAAGGGAGTCTGGAATTCTCCAGTAGTGAAGCAGGGCATCACCAACCTCTGTTTGTGGTATCAACAACTTCTTCCTCAGTTTTAGAATCAGAGAATCACAGACTGCTTTCAGTTGGAAGCATCTTAAAGCTCATCCAGGGCTACCTCTGCCATGGCAGGGACACCTTCCACTGTCCCAGGGTTCTCCAGCCTGGTCTTGGACACTTCCAAGTGCTATTAAATGCTATTATTTACTTCCAGGGATCCAGGGACAGCCAGAGCTTCTCTGGGCACGCTGTGCCAGGGCCTCCCCACCCTCCCAGGGAACAATTTCTTGTGTATCTTTAACCTAAATTTCCCCTCTTTCACTTTGACCCCACTGCTCCTTGTCCTATCTCAAGTTTTGAATGCTTTGACCCAAAAGCAGCCCCAGATACCTCAATGCCCCGAGGGGGGAACCACCAGGGCACCCAATATTCATCGAGGTGGCGGCAAATGACATAAAAGTTGGGAATTCCTGCTCCATGCCCCCAGAGAGGGCAGGTTCTGGAGGTTCACCCCAGCACCACCTGCCTCGGAGGCGTCTCACACACCTGCTGTGAGCCCAGCTGTGCACGAGCAGCAGCCACAGGTTCCAAGGGGAGAAACGGTGTTTCTCCCAGGGAACAAAATGCACAGCTCATTTCGTCCTGCTGTTGGTTGGGGACAGGTATTTCCTGACTGCAGCCACCCCCTGGCAGCACAGGGCACAGAGGACGAGCTGGATCTCATCTTCCTCCCCGCCCCGCTGCCCACTAAGTTATGATACTGCAGAGAAAAAATGGGAAAAAAAAAAAAAAAATAAAAGAAATTTGGTGCTCGACTTAATCAGACTTGGACCAAATCTCAGCTCAAACCAAGGTTAAATAGGCCTGTTCTAAGGTAGGATTTATATTGCAATTACAGTAATGGAAACTGAGCTTTATAATTCTTATACTGCCTAAAATTCTGCTGTGTCATATGCATCTGCAGAGCCCGAGGAATGTGCTGCTCGGGGAGCACTGCAGTCCTGAAAGCAGCCATTCAAATGGATCATGGAGAGTTATTGGAGCACGTGGATGGCCGAGATTTTTATGAAGCACAAAGAGTTACAATTCAGAAATCCTGGGAAAAGCGAGGAGCTGGTATCTGAGACAAGAAGTATATATAATTTTTTAAAATATATATATATACTTTATTTTGTTGGGAATGTTAGGAACTAGATCTCCATCAGCCACGGTGCAAACAGCATTGAGGGTGTCCTTTTTATCCTTGGATTTCTTTCCCTTTGCTGCAGTCTTAGATGCACAGTGCAAAATGAGCCTTGGCCAGGCAGAATCCTCGCAGCCACTTCCCAGTTCGCGCTGCTGTGCAAGGAAAAATCCCAGTGTGCTGAGCCCGGGCTGCGATAAAGAACAGCTCGGGAAGATTTGGGGATCTGATAGGGGGTTTGGCTCCACCTTCAGGAAGCAGAAGGCAGACAGACAACGCGGGGTTGAGGTTCAGACGCTTCGCACGGAATCTGGAGTTTGCCATCATTCCTGCCCACCCCAAAAGGGTCCCTGCTCAGATTTGTCACAGCGTCCCTGATCTGCTGCTGTGACATTTCCACACGGGCGATGCAGCTCTGAAAAGTCCACCTTGCTCCTGGAAGAACTTGAAGGATTGGGGCAGGATGTCCAAAGGGAGCTGATACATGGACACAGAGCACCAAAAAGCATCTTTAAGAGGACAAAAAGTTGGATTTCGTGGGATGCCACAGGAACGTATCAAACTCCATTAGCCGTTCACACTGTCAGTGCTGACGGTCCCCAGCAAAATGTGATTTTCTCTTATAATTCCCAGGGATTAGGAAGGTTCTCTGGGTATCACAGATGGAATGAGAGGAAGAAAGTGGGAAGAGTCTTGATCATATTTCAGTCTAGCAAAACACTTAAGCATATGCCTAAAGTTAAGCTATTTTTTCTCCTCAGATTCAGGCAGAAGATGCAAACGGAACAATCTCTTATATTTCACTTTTTGGCAGACTCTGATGCTGAACCCAGAATGAGGTAGCTGGTTAAACAGAATGATTTAAATGAATTTAAATGGTGCATTTTTTTTAAAGAAGCTACACAGTGACCACTTATAATAATGAAAATGGCAGGGTGGTTAGGAGTGACACTGAGTTTGAAAGTCTGTGTGAGGTGTTACTGAAATAATCAGCAATCACACAATTAGCAACAGTCCTGTGAGGCAATGGAAATGCACAGTCTTGCCTCTGGAATTTCCCCAGCTGGGTGCTTGAGCACCCAACTTTATTGTATTTAACATCACTTCCAGGAGGAAGCAGGTTTGAAAAGTGCAGAGCAAGCAGCAGTGCAGAGATGGCCTAAACACCTAATGAATCTAAAAATAAAAAAAAACCTCAAAAACACTGAGAGGTGATGGGAGCAGACTGAATAGACAGAGCTGTGCAAGCAAATATAACTGAATATACTCCTGAGGAACAAAGGAAACAATCCTTGATGGGGTGACAACAGATGTTCTCCAAAAAAAGAATTCTGAGGGAGCATTTCAAACACAAAGACCTTCCTGTGGAGCTGAGAAGTTTTACTGGCAGACGTACAGGAATACATCTTTGGAAACAGAGTAAAAGCTAACATTTAAGGTGTTATCAGGTCCTGAAAGCAGCAGTGATATCTTCATGTAATAAGTGGTGGGTGGTGGTGGAGAGGGAAATGGTGAGGATAACAAAATGCTGCCACAGGAAGTTGCCGTGGCAGAGTTGTGGTTTAAATCCCAGGGGGAATAATCAGTTTATTCTTAAAAAAAACATGAAAAGCAGCTTTAGACACAAGTTAGAGATGCACAGGCTAACCCAGCTGAAGGAATGGAACCCAGAGTCACGTTTTAGTGCAGTCAGCACATTGAAGTGCCACCACTTTGGCACTGTGGGAGCACATGTGGAGTGCCCAAAGCTGGATGTTTCTCCCAACTACGGCTCCTTCAGGTCATGGTTAAGCACACTGCAGAAAATCTCAAATTGGTCGTTAAAATAAAGGAGAAAATAGGATAGCTTGTAATTTTTGAAATGACTGAATTGCAGTGGTAGTTTGAGAAGATCTGGATTTAATGCCTGGCCTGGATCTGCAGCATTTTCAGTGAACAGTTTTATAATTTTTAAAGGCTGGGCACCTCAAACTCTTGTTTTAAACTCTGGCCTTTACTTTTTATGTTCTTTATTTTTATAGATACAGAATAATACTTCTCTGCCTAGTTGGAGTGTTGAAAGGATTCCTGACTATCTGCAAGGCCAGCAGATATCATTTTATCTGGGAACGAGGCAGGAGGACGACATACTAATTGTCTAATTGTTTTCATTGCTTTGCAACTGTTTTGGGGAAAACAACCCCGAGAGAAGATTATTGCAGTGCAATCAGAACTTCAGAAAGACTAGGATGGACAACTTGATTGACAAGAGAAGGCTAAAGCAGGCAGCAACACAAAAAATCATCATTGGACAGACATTTTGATAAATATTACTGCAGCCAATTTATTATTAACACAGTGGGACAGCTTTACATCTTGCATCACACTTTTTCACAGCCCTTATGGTAAACATGCCATATCTGACAATTACAAGATGAAAACAAAGACCTCACTAAGTGTCTCCTGGCCCTGCATCTTTATCTGCTTGCTCAGTTAACCCTCTCCCCACTTCAGCTGTGCAGCTAAACGAGCAGATAGAAACATATTATACATATATTAACATTTATTGTGTGTTCATATAGAGAACACAACCCCAGCAGCAGCCCATGAAATCCCCAAAGGTTAAGCAATCCGTGGCACTCATTCCTAAAACATGGGAGAGGATTGGGGCTGAGGTGGGAAGCTGTCAGGACGAGAGAGGATCAAAGGGAATCTCTTCTGAAGGGGAGAGAGGTCACCCATGGCTGTGTCCTGGCTGCAGGGACAGCCCCAGTGTGAGCAGCCCTGGATCACAATCTGGGATCCAGCAGGGAGGGATCCCACAGCAGGAAGGGAACCCACAGCTGGAAAGGATCCCACAGCAGGGAGGGATCCTACAGCAGGGAGGGAAAAATCCCACAGCCAGGAGGGATCCCACAGCAGGAAAGGATCCCACAGCAGCTCTGATTTCCTGGCTGACAAATCTCTTCCTACACAACCACTGCAGCTCGGACCAGCAGCTCTTTCTCTCTGCTGGCTGCTTGGCTTCTGGGATTAGCAATCTCATGGACTTTGGAACTAAAATCCTATTTTCACCTCATTCACACAAAATAGTTGCTCCTGGAATTTTTTTACAGATAACAAAGCACAACTTGGATTTCTGAAATCACCAAGTCAAGCTCTCTGCTACTTGAACACCTGGAGACACATTTTAGAATGGAATCTTGTGTGCTAAGTCGCCCAAGGCTATTTTTTTATTATAACACCCATGACATCTTCCTATTTTCACAGCTTCAGGGTTGGAAAAACAAAAAGCAGACAAGTCACAGGATGATCTTGGGCAGGAGATGTTACTTGATAAAAACATCTACTTTCCATCCGCTTCCTGTCTGTTTTTCAAAGTATTTCAGGGAACAAAACTGATGAGCACAAAGAGCATTCAGTGAGAGAGGGAGCAAAGGGAGACAGAACAAATATCAGGCAAGGGAATGGAGCTGACAGAGTGTTCCTGTCTCTTTGAACCCACAAGGAAAATGCATGGCAGGAAGGATTCCAAAACCACATCTTTCTTGCGTGAAGGGAAGAATTAACGTTAAGCACAAAGTATTCCTTGTGGTTTATTCTCATTACGTGACATGTCAGGTTATGCTGATTTGGGTTAAAAACAGGATTTCTTTACAAAGCTCTCTGTGCACTGGGCTTAATGTGGGTTAAAAAGAGCCTAAACCCCACAAATTGTGCTTTCATAAATCCACTTAGGAATTTCATTCTTGGGAATTCCCTTAAAAATACGGTTTGTATTAATGACAGGTGGAAAGTTTCACCTGAAAAAACAAAAAAAAATAGGCCAAATTTTTGTAAAAAATAAATTACACTGAAGTTTCTACTGTGTGAGTTTCTCCCTCAGTTAGTGCCAGTTTTCATTAGAAGGTGAAGACAACGCTTAAAATCGGTCAAATAGCATGAAGATTTTGTTGACATGTTTTCTGTCTGTGTGTACATACTTTTCCTGAAAGGAACATCCTGTGAAATCCTGGTTGTCCAGAAGATTTTGGTCAAACAGCTTTGAAAGATACTGAATTTATTGCACTGAAACACAACTGACCCAAAATAAGAGCCTAATAAGGGCTTTAGTAGTACAAAGAATTCAGTCTTTTGACACTCTCTAGCTGTAAAACACACACACCATTTTCAGGAGGAAAAAGGTATTTATTTCACTATGGGTGGTTGCAAGATAGGAAACAAAAAAAAAATCAAAATAAGCAGAACAATTATTTGTTTTTTTAACCTCAGGGCACCCCAACAGCCACCCTCTTTTTGTGATATGTCATCTACAGTTCTATTTTTTACACATCCATATTTCTACTGTTGATCAGCACTTAACCAAATTTTGCACTTGGCCAAAACTTAAATAAATAATTGTTTCAATTAACAGAATTTTACAGGCTACACCAGCCTAAGATTTAGGGCTTCGGAAAAAAAAGCAGTTTAAAGTTAATTTCCAAACTGCCACATGGACAGACCCCCAAGTGTAATCCTGGCCCATCCATGCTAAAACTCTTAGTGATTTCAGTGGAATAAATATCTGCATATTTATTATGAGCAACTCTCTCTGCAGCTCTACGTAACACTCTAAATGATACAGACAAATCAGTGCAAATTGCAACAGTCTGCACGTTTCACAGATGATGTAACTCAGCAACAAACCCTCTGCTCCCAGAAACAGAGCAGTCCCAAAGTTCCACCTTTGAGGTAAGCTTGTGAGGAACGTTCACATTTGATCATCTTTGTTCACCGTGCATTCAATGTTCCGTTCCGACAAGGGGTGATCAGTAAATCCTCAGCAATTCCAGCAGAGCACTGGATCCAGCTGTAAAAACAAGCTGCACCTATGGATCTGTGCCACTCCCTGGCAGAGTTTAGGGATGTTAGGGATAGCTCTGCATTTTCCTGAAGGTTGCATTGGTGATGCTGAGGCGGGTCAGCCTGGCCCCGTAGTAATCAATGATGTAACTGGAGCCGTCGGAAGGGCCAACGATCTGCAGCAGAAGAAAAGAACCAAGACTTTTCAATATGAAGTGAAATATATACTTTGTGCTAATGTCTCAATTACTGCTAATTTTCCCATCATAAAATTAGTCATGCTTAATTAGTCAAACAGAAACTAGATTTATTTTGAAGTTATGCTGCAGTTTAACTGTTTTAGCGAGAGCTGTCTCAGAAGGAACATTTCCCCTGGGCTTCTAATCAACCAAATTACACAGCCAGGCACTGGGACTCGGCTAATCCGATGAGGATTTGAGGCACAAAACCAGCCTAACAAATGAGTGGGCTCCAAACCACTTTTCCTGAACAAAGGAAGGTCGGCAGCAGAGAATTAGGCTGATGACAAGTGTCTTTGAAATACTGAACAGGTAAGGAATGAAGAGGAGGAGGAAAGATCATGGAGTTTTTGTTCTGGAAGTGCTAAATTGATGTGGAGTCACCAGGGAGATCAACAAGGAGAGATGAAAGATACTCTCAACTGGATCTGTTAAGTGCTCTGAGGCAGGATCACTGCGAGAGCAGAGAAAGGAGTTTGAGAATGCACACAAAACACAGATCCAAAGTGCACACTTTTAAAATATTTTCCTACAAACCCACAGAAACAACTCCCATACCCACAATGGATTTTGAGTTCATCACAGCCGATTTGCAATTCATGCTAAATGGCTGCGCCGCTGAATAAAACAATTTGGCAATTTCATGATGTCACAAGATGTCACCCCAGCTGGGGATTTAACCCTCATGAATCCCTCAGTCACAGCTCTCTGCTGATGAGGGACTTGAATTTGCAGAAGAGGTGGAAAATGGAAGTGGCAATGTCTTCTTTCATCAGCATAAAGCACAGGCAAACACAGAACTTGAGGGTTCGGGGAACAGCCAGGACATCCCATGCTGAGTCCAACATTGCCTCACATAAAAAGGTTCTGACTACTTGAATTTATGGTGCAATGGCTTCCAAGCTATTCATTGTCACTATTTATAGATGGCTAATCTAAGTTTTAATTCCAACAGCAAATATATTGATATTTTGTGTCTATATTCTACAACATCAATCTACAAACAGAGCCAAAATAAATGCCTTGATTTTTCAATATCCAGTGGTTCTTAAGGCCAAAATGCTAACAAAGTGTTAGTAATCAAATCAAAGCTTTAAAGAACACAGATTTGTATCTTGTTTTGAAAGCTCTGACTTACCTGCATTGAAATAAGTATGAAATCAATTAGGCTCCCAATTCCACAAAACCCTACAGTGCAGAACTTTAATAAACCTAAAAAAGAAAAATAAAATTTAATGTAGCTTTAAGTAATCCCTGGGATTTCACCACTGGTGGCAATCACATCCAAACTCTCCCCTCACCCACAAAATGTGTTTATATATATATAAGCAGACCTGAAGTTAAACTTCTTTAGTTATTAGGGAAAAAACCAAGCCACATATTCATATTTCTATATCCTGAACACACTTTAAAGATTTTAAATACTAACAATTTTTTTTATCATCTAAATATTCTTAAACAAGGAAAGGCAAAAGCTGATTATCAGGTTGCTGAGATATTCCTTTCACTGAGACACAGACAGAAAAATCCCAACTTAAGCTGCAAAATTTACTTCTGAATAGAAAGAGACTTTCTACCACCTCATGAGTTGCAGCACATACTGATTTGATTTTCAAAACATGCAATTTTGGAAAACAATCCTTTGTGCAATTTTTATATTTTTGCTGCAATATGAATTTCTTTTGAATATATATTAAAAATATATAAACGCTTCTTTTTAACTGGTATTCAAAAATGTTTGGTTTTATACAAATAAATGGAAGATTATTAGAAAATATGTGGGAATAGCAACTGACAGATGAATGTTTTATTGGAAGTTGCCCTGCAAGGCAGACTTCATTTGGAAAATGCCTTCAGAAAAAAGGGGCTGCCTTAATTTAATTTTTTTTAAATATCAATAGTTCCTTGTACAATGAATGTAGAGAGAGCTATATATTTATGAGCATTATTTCAGGGGAAGATCTTGGTGAATCTCCTTTCTGCAAAGCAGGAATGTGTCCCTCAAAGCACCTCCTCATCCCCAGGGCAGAGGAGGGGAGGAACTGCATCCACTGCAGGAAGAGCATCCCACTGCTCTTCCTGGAATTTGGATTTGTCTCGCATGGAAGAAAAGTCCATGTGCATCCTCCCCTGTGAGGCCCTGGCACAGGTGCCCAGAGAAGCTGTGGCTGAACGCCTGGAAGTGTCCAGGTTGGATGGAGCTCTGCACAACCTGATCCAGTGAAGGTGTCCCTGCCCCTGGAACATGCCAGCTGGGATTTTTAGGAACCCAGCAAATTCCTTACCACTGCTGCAGCTCCACCTTACTTAAGGAATGGATAGAGAACTGTTTCTGAACCTGGCATTTATTTCTAGAGTGCAGGGTAAAGTTGGCTTTTTTCCATCCTCCTCACTTCCCTCCCTACAAGCAGATCACACTGAGAAAATAAATTGCTCTAAAGCACAGAGGGGAAAAAAATAGTGTTGTTCTACAGTAATAACTCCTGGTTTGGTTCACAGTGTGTGGGAGAGGAAGAGGTTGCCTTCCTGATTCTTTATACTCAATAGCTTGTTTGTATTTGTGTGCTCTTTAAACAAAAGAGAAGGGGAAAAAAATAAACCAAAGAGCATTCACAGTCTTCGTTACACTTGCAAAAAAGATTTCGATGCTATTAACCTTTCTTAACCATTTTTTGCCAAGGCACAGATGACCTAAGAAATCCCTAATCAGCCACAGTAAAGGAATCCAATGGGTTGATATTTATTCTTTTCTACTCTTACCTATTTGCTTTTCAAAAGATTGAAAATCTGGCTTTGGAAGAGTTTAATTTTATATATTAACTCTGGCTACTGGGTACAGTATAATCCAGTAGGGTTAAAGCATTAGCCATAAAGATCTACAAAAGAATTAAGGATTTATGAATCTACATTACAATAATCACTGCAAATTATTATTCTAAATCCAGTGGTACAAATAAATAATGCACTTTACTGACTGCTTTCAAAAATGTATCTTTTTGTGACACAGATGGACAAAGTAAGTGCTAATTATAGAATCTCAGGGATAAAAGACATGGATGTTAATCAAGATTACAGAGAAGGACAGATAATGTCATAAAAAAGAGTTGGCATTTAATGGGCAGAAACTCAAAATTTCTGGCTGAAGTGACAGCAACACATACAGCTTTTTCCATATCACTGCTCCATCCTGTCTATACTTAAATTCACTCCCTTTGTCCAGCTCAGAAACAAGGCCAGTGAAGGCTGTCCTGTCATAATAAGTATTAAGTATTAAGTATTTCCATTACTTAAAAGCCAGTGGCACCATCATCCTGGGAATGAGGTCCTAAAAACAAGAGAGAGGTTTTATTAGAAGTCCCAGCTTCTCCAGAATTGTTATTTATACCATGAGTTATCTTGAAGGTGTGCATTTGCCAGAATAAATTCCATCTCTCAAAACACCAGGTTTACTGTAAAATCTGTCCACTTTTTTCCCTGGTGAAGTCAAGTTTCATTTAAGGCTGGCACGTGAGGCAAAGCCACTTCTGCTCCAGTGCATCACAAAAATGCTGTGATAAAGCATCAATGCAAAGCAAAACTTTGAGTAGCAATAACCACATTTGCTTATTAGGATTTTATCTGCTGGACACTGCATCTCCATTTGTCACCACTCCAACAAAAGAGCAGGCTGAGGATAATGCAGCACTTTGTCTCACTTGACCATGAAGTAAGGATTCTAGTTTTAAACATTAGAACTGTGACTGTCAGCCTTCATTACTCAAAATATGAGTATACACATACAAGTCAGTCATAAGAATAAGATTTACCTAAAAAAAAAAATTAAGGAATAAACTTACCTAATGCAGGATATCCTAAATAAAATCTATCTGCTCCCAACCATCCAAGAAATAAGGACAGAGCCACTGCCACTTTGTAGGAGTATCCATTTCTGCCAAAAGAAACAAGTAATGTAGATAATGACTGCAAAATATGTCCACTCATACTTTTGACTGTTAAAGTAGTGACTCATTTTCCTGCTGTTCTGCTTTCAAAAAAACAACAGACTTGTTATTTATCTTCAATTAACAGCCACGGAATTGATAATGTTAAGCTTTCAAACTGGGAAGGCATCCTCCATAAAGGAACCTCAGCTGCTGCAACTCAACTGTACTCTTGCAGAATACAGATTATTCTGAAACTAAATGATGATTTCTTGTCAAGACATAATTCAGTTGCTGATCCATCCCCAGCTTCATAGAGCAGTTCCTAACAGTTCAGCCCTACTGAGACAAGCCCAGGAAGGCAGGAGGTGTGTGAATACTGTCTGCAGGCATTAGTCTCACACGCAGCCAAATGGAGAGGAACAGGACAGGCAGGTGAGATGTCAGCAGAGACAGTAATTGCCACGAGATCTGAAGGAGAAATGAACCATGGCCACCGGCTGAAGAAGCTGCAGGAAGGATTCAACAAAAAGAGTAAGTCTTGGATTCACTCATTACACCGTAAATGGCACAAAGTCCCAATGAAAAGAAGAAAAGAACTGTTGACAGCACAAAGATGCGCGGGGGTAGAGAGGCACTCTCAAGTTAAGCTTCCCATGGTTAGTCCTACAAAATAAACAGATAAAACAGACTTTTTCAGACTTATCCTAATTGGAACCATTCCTGCCAACAGCTGGAGCGATGCAGCCACCAAACCACCTGTTAGTGCAGTCCCTGCTGGAGAGCCTTGCACTAATAAGGGAGCTAAAAACATATCGCTCCCAATGCTGGAACTGCTGCCTCGGCCAACAGCGAGCTCCTGAACAGCTAACCCAAATGTAATTAGAGCTGAAAAATATTCAGTAATTCACTGTTTTGATATGTGCACCACTACATGCCAGCAATTATTTAACAGGCCCAAATTAAACTCTTGGTTGACAGTTGAATAAAACAGTCTCAAAAAGACAGTAGCTGACAAAAGTCCAAGCACTTTTATTAAGCTTTTCAATGCCAAGTAGAGAGCCACCTTTTTTGCTTATTATCTAAATTTGCTGACTTTAAAACCTAATGGCAACATTAAGTGATTAAACCATGACTTTTACCTCACTATTTGTTACTTGGTGTTTATTAGCAACACAGAACACACAGGGCATTCCTGGAACCTAATGTAACAGAAATTATCATCTTTAGAATTGCCTTGTTTCCACTGTAAAGAACACTAATGGGTTTATTTAAAACTTGAAGTAAACTGTTGGAAATTGTTTATCAACTAAAAAGTGTCAACAGCCCTCCAAGGACACTAAAGCATAAAAAGAGCTGTTACATAAAAGATGGGAACACGGTTTAATTTTGCTCCTGATCACAGCTAGTAATAAACTGAGCCCTTGCCTATGCACTGAGATGCTTCTGAAAGCACAACAGTTTCTGCAACCTCATCAACATCAAACTGATGGGCAGAAGAAATCCAGTATGAAGGGGAAGCATGAGAACACTGTAACAAACAAAGCTGCATCCACTCTGCTGTTACATTTGCTTTACTCCTTCAGACAAAAATATGCACAAAGAGTAAACCAGTGAGTAGGAAAACAACACATCCTGGGCATCTGAAGGAATTTCTACAATTGGGTAAAAAGATGCAATTTCTTGTGAGTTCCTCTTTTGATTTTCTCTTGCTCCTCAGCCTCATCCAACCTTTATATTTTCTGCATGCATTTCTTCCAACTGCTACATTAAAAACTTTCCCTCCCAGCTCTTCCACAGCAGTTGACAAGAGCAGGTGCTGCTGCAGGTTGCTCTTTCAGGGTCTCTTGGCTCTGCTCAAAGACCTGTCTACACTGAACCCCATGAATTTCTCCTCAGAGAATCACTCCATGGCCTCCTTCCCTGGAATGGCAACACTTGAAAAAAAGCCATTTCAACTCTGCAGCATCAGGCCCTGCACATATTAACTAAAATAAATGATAATGACAATCTGGGGGATTCTAGAATTTGGCCAAAAAATAAGATCTACCTCCAAACATCAGATTAAAGCCAAACCTAAGCAACCTTGACTCCCAATACTTCTTTGTTGGAACAACCTCATAAGCTTTTCCTTGAATAACTACTAGGGTACCTGAATTTAAACACATTCACTCACACAAACATGGGACATCTCCTGGTCTTGCTCTAAAATAACTGGACCCCAGAACTTAGTCAAAACTAAATTACAGTTTTGACTAAGGACAACTTGCTGATTTGTCCTTCACAAAAGCTGGGGATGGAGATTCACCTGCTGTCCCCATGCTGGGACAATCCTGCCATGGAAAGATGCCTTCTCAAACTCATTTTCTGGCTAAATGATGTGCAGTTATTTCTAGAGTTACAGTTGCTACCCAAACTCAGTAGGATGCTGAAAAATCTCCAAAAACCAGTAGAAAAGGCAGGGCTATTGTTGTAATAGTAAATTGGAGATTCTTGCTTAAAATAATATTTCTAACACTTAGGTAATATTCAAAGTGCCTCATAAAAGGTCTGTCAATGACTGGACTACTTTTTAAATAAGTGTACAGATGAAGGATGGTGATATTAATCTTGCTGCCATTTTTTACTGGTTTTAGGACATTATGAAGGACATCCTTGTGTAACTCTATCTACATTCACAGTTGTATTCTACTGGCACTTTCAGTCCAAAAAGGATTCTCTTCTCTTTCTGCCATACCAGCAGTTGTGGGACTGGAAAAGTCACAATGAGTTGTTTTGGCAGTGTAACCATTGATTATTTATTATAAATAATAGTCATGATCAAGTAAAAGATAGTGTAAGAAGGATGATATTTCTCTGCCTACAGACCTGGATTTTAATAAATAAATGTAAAGAAAAGCTACCTTTAAAAAGTGTTTCTAGAAAATATACTAAACCAAAAATATATGTATACAAAAAACCTCCACACACAGGAATTACCATCTAATCGAAAGAGGAAGCAATTTCACTAAACTAGTATAGCTCATCTTCTCCTCAGCCCCCATCACAGATGGGACTGAAGCACAATTGTTTCTGGACAAAAATGTGACTGACGTCTACTTTGCTGGCATTTAAATCTGATTAGATGTAATAATATGTTTTCTTCAGTTTGCTGAGCTTTGACTGCTGAGAAGACTAAATACAGAGAAAATATTTATGAAACTAAGAGGCAGAGCTGTACTTCTGAGTTAGGCAAATTACTGAGCAGCAAGTGGCACATCAGAGTTATCTGCCCACTAGAGTGATAGGGAGTACTCAGTATTTCTGGAGTTTTAATTTCCAAAGATTACAGTAGGACAAAAGAGAAAGGTTCCAGTGTGAATCCCAGAAAAAAGAGGAAACAAATGGTAGTGACAGGTGCTGGCTGATCATTAGCACTGGCCAGTTGGAACATATATTGGTATCCAGAGCTCTCCATCACTCATAACGTGCTTTGGAAAAACAAGGTTCACCATTCATGTACCAGAAACAGGCTCTTCAAAGACACAGTGGATTGGATTAAACAGAAAAGTTGTTTCAAATAGAAAACACTTTCTCTTATAGATTTTGGGGGGAACTCAGCTGCAGCTACAGGCACACTTTAAACTGGCATGAAGCACTGAGCAGCACAGACCTGTCCAGCCATCCTTTGTCCTCTGTTTTATCCTTGAGTCACCCTCATCCCTGCGCTGGCACGAGCACTCAAAGCCATTGTACTGTGACTCAAACTGGGGAACTGATCCAAGGCAGCTGAAAGCCAGGGCAGCTCCCTGATGTCCTGGGGTCTGTCAGGGAAGGGGATGGAGGGTGTCCCCAACAGCTCCTTCCAGCAACTGTGCTGATTTTAAGCACACGTGAAATGTGGCCTCAGCATTTGGAGCAAAATTTTGCCTAGTTAAAGGACAAAGTAAAGCGAAGGTAAAAGAATAAGGTAAAGAATAAGGTAACTCAACAACAGAGCAAATGTACAGACAGATTTCCCTATAAATGTGCACATTGAGAGTGACCTGGTCTAGTGGAAGGTGTCCCTGGCCATGGCAAGGGGATGGAATGAGATGGGCTTTAAGGTCCCTCCCAACCTAACCCTTGCCATGACCCTGTAGTGTTTATTGGAGGACTCACTACTGGGCAAAACATGCATGGTTCTGTCCTACCTCTATTTGCCTTCTGCCAACACATGATACAATTTTGGACAAACTTCAGTTTTTCAGAACCAAAGAATACTCACACATTGCGACACTCAATAGGCTTGTAAAATCCAACTTCACGTCCCGTAAAGAATTTCTCTATGCCAAGGTGATCTTTGCAAGTAATATTTGGTGCTGGCAGACATTGAACTGAGGACAAAAAATTATTTGATATTAAGCAATAATTGACACTCAGCAGTTTTCTGACTACGCACAAGTGAAACAAATTAAGTTCTACTGTGCAACAGTCTTGATACAAAGCACAGTTCACACACAATAACTTGTTTAAAGTATTTTTTTAAGCCAGTCCTACCACTAACTTGTAGTTTTACTTTGCTACATTTTAAGCAAAATATACAAACCTAATTGCTGCCCCAATTTTGTTCTGATTTCCACTCTGGCTTCAATATGAGTCAATGAGAAATCTGAAGCTGACATACAGAAAACATTTTCATCATGAGAACAGTCAAATATTGGAACCAGTTGCCCAGAGAAGTCATGCAATCACCATCCCTGGAGGTTTTCAAGGTCTGACTGCACAAAGCCCTGAGCAACCTGGTTGGAATTCAGTGCCAACACTGCTTTGAGCAGGAGGCTGGACTATGCAACTTCTTGAAGGGTCTTTCTACCCAAATTATTCCATTATTCTTGATGCTTAGGGGAATCAAAGTGGAAATCACAGCAGAAAGTCACACCTGTTAAAGTTTGCAATATACTACAAGAATATTAATCACTCTCCAATGCTGTAGTCTGCTGTTTTAAAGGAAAAAATATCTGTCCTTTATCCACTTTCTATCAGCTTTTAGTACTTATGAGTCCTGTTGGTTAATTCCAACAAAGCCAGGTTTAACATTCCTTCCAGATTTTCCAGTAATGCACACAGGCAAGAGATGGATTTTTTTAATGCCTATCTGGATTGCATAGGGCCAAAAAATAAAATAAGATTTGAGTTATGTGTGGACTAAACTGTTATAAAATCTTACATGGATTTTATACCCCATCCCTGGAAGTGTCCAAGGCCAGGTTAAACAGGGCTTGGAGCAGCCTGGGATAGTTGAAGTTGTCCCTGCCCATGGCAGAGGATGAAATGAGATGCTCTTTAAAGTCCCTTCCAACCCAAATCATTCCATGATGCTACTGATCAATGTGCCTGATCTAAAGAAATTACAAAAATATACATTATTTCTTGTAAAGAAAGCAAGGAAGTTTTTTTCTGTTGTTCGAAGAAACCCGTCACAGTTAAAATATACTGATGCAGGAAAAGCCACAGCTTTCTTCTCAGTGTCACTCCAAAGACTCCAAACCCAATGACACCACTTTGCTGCTTTGAGTTAAACCCTTGTTTGTCTGAGTAAGGGATGGCAGACACTGATCAGAAATTGTAGTGCTTCAAGTATGATCCAGACATTCACTTTTTATTACTTAGGTAATATGGAAAAAAAGCAATTCAAATACTGTGAGGGCAATCTAAAAACTGGTGTGTGTATAAAAATGCTACACAAAGAAACAGTGTTAATTAATTCAGCAACTTGTTCTACTCTGAAGCTTATCTCCTGTTCAAAAGTGCAGTGTATTAAATACAATCACATGGTAATTAGTTAAACAACTGATAATCTTGAGTTATGATCAATCTCAAACTGTGCAGTATTTTTTCTGGTCTCTGACTACCCATTTATAGTCAGTGACCCAATGTTAAAATGATGGAAAGAACTGAAAAATCTTTTAAAAGGATCCATTGTGCAAAGTAAATACATCCAGTGTTTGAAATTACTTGGAAAACCTTCACTATCCCAGAAGAAAGTAATTCAGCACTTAGAGGAAGCAAAATATGAACACACATGAATTTTGTGGACTCCCCATCCCTGGAAGTGTCCAAGGCCAGGTTGGACAGGGCTGGGAGCAGACTGGGATAGTGGGAGGTGTCCCTGATCATGGTAGGGGTGGCACTGGATGAGGTTTAAGGTCCCTTCCAACACAAACTATTCTGTAATTCCATTATTTTAAAATAGGGGTGCACATAAAGTGAACTTGCTGTGCTATCAAACACAGAACACTTTATTTCAATGCCTGGAAACATCAAAGTTAAGCAAAGATAGGAAAATACATAATCAAGTTATGAATTTTTCTGTTGTACTGTGAAGTATGTCAGAACTGAACATCAAATAAATGTGCTTTCAAAATAGAGCCTCATGCACCAAAACCTGGTGATGATAGAAGGCACTGTGTTGCCTTAAGAAAAAAACCCTTAAAAATTAGAAGATTTTGAGGGCTGTTCTGTCACATGTCAATTCTTTTAATAATTATATGCAAAATCAGTATGACAGGAATGGTTTGTTTTAATCACAGTAGTGCAGGACAGAGCCTAAAGGGTGTAACATACATTGAAGAGATTTACCAGAAACCTCACTTACAAAAGTACCAATCAGAGACAGTGTATTTATTCCTTTTTAGTAAAGCAACCCAATCCACACAAGTGTTTTGGGCTTTCAGACTAATGATATTACTAATCCCATCTTTTATAAAACTCATCAAGTAGATACACAAATGGGTAAATTGAACACTTCCTTGAAAAAAAAAAGCAGTTAATCAATATATAAGTTAGAAATCCTTACCATATGCTGTGTGATTTGTGCAATTCATTGGTTCTTGTGTGCTATTGTCTATTTTAGGCTCATCACACATATATGTTCAGGTAATTGAGGAAAACAGTTTTCATATCAAACACTACAACAGGTTTAACAGTAATTTATTCCACCCTCTTTAAACCCTGAGGATTTAAGATGCACCTTGATGTTGGTGCCTACCCATCCCCCAAAAGAGGAGCAGCACATTACCATGCAGCAAATCTGCTAATCCAATTTAATACACCAATATATCGCATAAGCCTCGCGTTTAATTAGTGCTGCAGTCAGCACTACCTAAAGGAACTACAATATTTATCAGTCACAGCCTCTATATTTGGAGGCAAAAAGGTAGCACACGCCTCATCTGGTCTCGTTCCCTTATTTAAATACCACAGTGCCTTGAAATCGAGGCATTTGGTTGAGGAAATTTAATCTACGGGAACACACAAAATTCAACTAACACGTAAAAATGAGCATCTGAAATGCCAGGAATTTGGTGCAGGAACAAACTGAGAGGGAACTGACTTCCAAAGGTCTCAACTCCGACAGCCAAGTAAAGCAGGAGATGAAGCAAGCTTTTCCAAGATTTGCTCTCCTGACACTTTTGATCGTCAAAAATTGTCAGCTGCCATCAGCCAACATGTTCTGGAGAGGGCAAGAGGTGCCTTGGAGAGCCAGGAGCCTCACACCTCCTGCTCCTCGGAGCTGTGCAGGGCACAGAAACATACTGTTTCCTGAAAAAAATGTCAAAGTCTCCACATCTCGCTCCTGCAAATAATAAATAAGGCGGAGTGGTGGCAGAGCACTCATCCCATGGCAATCTCTTTGAAGGACATTCCAAGCATGCGCCGCGGCACACACAGTACCACCAGAAATCACAAAATTAATTAGGCTGGAAAAGCCCTCTGAGAGCATCGAGTCCAACCTGTGCCTGATGCCCACCCTGTGCCCCAGATCAGAGCACTGAGTGCCAAGTCAGTCGTTCTTTGAACACCTCCAGCGATGGGGACTCCGCCACATCCCTGGGCAGCCCCTTCCAATGCTCCATCACCCCTTTTGTGAAGAAACCCCTCCTGACGTCCAACCTGACCAATCCCCCGGCGCAGCTTGAGGCCGTGTCCTCAATTCCCGCACCCTGAGGAGCCCTGTCCCCCTCGGGGCTCCAAACCCGAGGCTGTCCACGACCCCCGCGCCCTGCCCGGCCCCTCACGGTCCCCACTGCCCCTTCCCCTCCCCACAAGCGGTGCCCCCCCTCACACCGGGCCCACCGCCACCTCAGCCGCCCCCGATCCGACCCCGGCCCCGCTCAGGATATTGCCCCAGCCGCAGCTCCTCGCACTTAAGCGGCGGCTCCGAGCCCGCCGCTCCCTCCAGGGCTGCGAAGCAGAGGAGAAGCAGGAGCAGCGCCTCAGCCGCACCGCTCCGGGCGGCCATGACGGGACCGCCGCCGCCGTCAGCTGACCCGGGGAGGAGCGGAGCGGCCCCGCCGCGCGGACAACCGCGGCTGGCTGCGGGAAGAAACGGAGGGGGATCCCGATGTGTTGGTGGCTTGCTGAAGGTACAGGTTAGGTTTTTGCGAGGGGTTAAGGGTCTTTTTTTAGTGGTGGTGGGGGGGGTGACCTCATTAAACATGGCGGGCGAGGCCGCGCTGAGGGCAGAGCGCGCCCTCACTCAAGATGGCGCTGGCAGCGCCCGGCGTTGGGACGGGCGGGGTGGCGCCCCGAGTAAAGATGGCCGCGCCCGGCGGCGGCAGCGGCACCGCGCTTGCCCGCACTTAAGATGGCGGGAGCGAGGGCTGGCGGCCCCGGCGCGCTGTGGGCATGGTGGGGACCCGCGAGGAGCCCTGAGGCGGCTCTGGCAGCGGGGCTGGGGCCGCTCCGGGTGCTGGCACCGCGGGCAGGACTCGCCCTGAACCGAGCGGCGGGCCCGGGAGAGGGGGGGACGTGAGGTGAACCCTCCCCGCTCTGACACCCACGCTATAGCATTGGCCTACCCGGCGAAATCGCACCTTTGGGTGTACCCGCTGGTATCTGGAGTTTACTGAGTACTTGAAAAATGTGTTGAAAAAGCCCAGCAGAAGTTAAAGGCGTGACCTGCCAAACTTGGTTAACACAGACTGGTGCATCCCCTGTCATCCAGGCAGGCCTGGTGTGCTGACAGTGTGTCTGGCACACCCACAGCTGTCGGATTAAAGAAATAATTTGAAAATATTACCTTATTTTCACACACAACTGCATTGTTAAAAATGCTCTTTATTCCAATTTTTAAATGAATACCGAATTCCTGAAGCAGGCAAGGTTTTCATCAGCATTTGCTCTTCACAAGGTATTTTGTGGTGATTACAAACCTTTCCCTATTCTCACTAACGTGACATTTATTTATTGTTTTTCTATTGTGGTTATTTCAGGTTTCTCTGATGTTTGAAGGCATCAGTTTTCCACTTATGAGCTGCTAAGGGATCCTGGAGTGTTTACAGGAGATGGAGAGGTCCTTTGGATTAAGCACATCCAGGAAAGGCAACACCACTGTCCCAAGTTTATATCTGCTCGAGAAGCGTTTCCTGAAAAACAAGTAGGGACCTAAAAACTGGAAAACTGAACCTAAAAAGCTGGCAAAGCAACTCTGAAATAGTACTGAGGAGAACATCATCACTACCCATGCTTTCTGGAAGTTTTCTGGGTTTTCTGGGCATTATTTTGGTGCATGGTGACTTGTCTGGAGCCTGTCAGCACCAAAGAAGGTACCAGATATTCCAAGACTCCGTGGAAGCACGGATTTAAAACGTGTGGATGGATGACAAAGAGCTCAGCCAACCATGTGAAATATTGCCATCTAACAGCTTTTTGGGGAGATTTCGCCTAAACTGAATTGGCAGCCTGGAGTTCAGCAAGCAAAGTATGCAAATGAAAATTGATACTCCTCTTAGCAACTGGAAGCGAAAGGGCAGGGCCGGAGCGCGCTCCGGGATGAACTCAGCCCTCGGAGATGGAGACGGAGGTGCACTGATGGGAAAAGTGCCCGGCTCTTCTGTCTGCGGCGCGTCCCTCGCATGGATAAATACACCACTCGCTGTTCATCACTGTCAGGAAAATTGTCACTTCTCACGAGCGCCACATTAATTAAAAGTGAGAGTTAGGGCCGGGGAGCTGAGCGCTCGGAATCCTTCGGAAGGGGGATGGAGTGGTGCGTTCTGAGCGTGTCGTGCGCTCTGGGGCCACTGCTGCCGCTCAGTGAAACGAAACGGGTGCCAGAACGAGGGGAAATCAATCTGAACTCGTGGGAAATTAATTGATTTCCAAACCTCTTGTAGCCCTTGCCCCCTTCAGCCAACGGGGCCGTGTAAGGTCGGCAGACCGGCTTGTGAAACTGCGTAGCAGAATAAAAATTGTATTTATCGACTTTGATTCGACTATTTTATGTGTGTATGTATATAATTTTAGGAAGTCAGAAAGCAGGCTGATGTACAGGTTTCAGAAGGCACACGCAGTTCGCACAATTAATTTCAACTAAAATGGGGCCTGCTCACTATTTTGTGACTCACAGGAATATAAACATAAATATAAAAAGATAAAACATATATATATGTATATATACATGTGTGTATATATATATATATAATATTTATTTATACAAATTTTGTTTTTATTGCCATCCTGGACAACATTCTGTGTTGTAAGCCACAGTGACGTGGGATGTTTTGGGGTGCTGTGGGGGAAGTATTCCAATCCCTTTACTCCAACTGAGTTTTCCTATGGATTTTTGCCATTCCCTTCTTTGAAGCGGTGGGAGCTGCGCTGCTGAGGCTGAGCAGAGCATAAAATATTATTATATTTATATTATTGTACACACTTCACCCGAGGAGCTACACTCCTGTGTCCAAAGGAAACAGTATCCGAACACCAAGCTGGCTCTACGTGCCCCTCTGTAGGGAGTTCGAAACGTAGAATCACAGAGTATCGAGACTAGACACCGACGTGCTACAAATAAGTTAAAAACAAGCTTTCCTACAATATTTACACACGCGGTTTGCCTTCGCTGGGAAGACCACACGGCAGATCCAAACTCCGGCGGGCCAGGCTCACCTGGAGATTGCCTAAAAAGTTAATTTCGGCCCTGAAACGCCAGCCCTGCACTTCCCGCGGCGGCCGGAGCCCGTGTCCCGGCGGAGCGCTGCCCCGCGGAGCCGGGCGGGGCCGAGCCCCGGCCGTCCGTCCGTCCGTCCGTCCGTCCGTCCGTCCGTCCCTCGGGAGGCGGCTCTCCTGCCGCGCCGCCCCGGCTTCCTGCGCCGCAGGTGAGCCGGGATCGCCCCTCGCTTCCCGCTTCCGCCCAGGTGAGCGCCGCCGGCCATCCCGCCGCTCCCGGCATCCCGGGCTCCCCGCATCCCGCAGGTACCGCGTCCGCCCCGGGAACGGCACGGATGGGGTGGGCTGAGATGGGAGGTGGGCACTGACCGTCCGCTGCAGGAGGGAATTCCCCTTCGGACACGGCGGTGTGGGTCAGCGGGTGAAATGTGTGCGGGAAAATCTCAAGGGGATTGTGTTTATCTGTGTTTGTCTGTGACAAGTGCGCCAGCCTGCCGACAAGGATGGAGCTGGGCTCTGCCTGGTGGTGCCAAGCAATAGTACAAGAGGCAGTGGGTGGAAATTGATGCCCAGGAAGTTCCGCCTGGATGTGAGGATGAGCTTCTTGCCTGTGCGGGTGACAGAGCACTGAAATTGAAAATTGATTGTCCAGAGAGGGCGTGGAGTCTCCCTCACTGGGGGCATTCCAGAACCGTCTGGACTCAATCCTGTACCTTGTGCTCAGGGATGAGCAGACGACCCAACTGGGTTTCCTTCCAACCCTTCCATCCTGGAATTCTCTAATGGCTTCCAACCATCTGCTTCCAGAGCCAGACCTGTGAACAGCAGCTTGGCCAGTCTAGCCACGGCCAGGTTACCAGATGCACTCATCCAGAGCCCTCCATGTGAAAGCCCTTCTGGCACCAGAGACCTCGACAGGTCCCTGACACCCCAGTAACGACAGGGCAGGGCTGTGTGACTCCCTCCATGGCACTGGAGTCACCCTGGTGCTGTGCAAAATAGTTTCCTCTGCTCGGAGAGGCTGGCTCAGGGTGAGGAGAGGAGGGAAGTAACACACACACCTGTTGCAACACTTCCCATCAAGTGCCTGTCGGTCCAGAGATTCTTCGCAGAGCAGGTTTTTACTTTGTTTACGGGTGGTTAATGGGAAAACAGTTCTTCCGCATTCCTTTTTGATTTGTGACCCTTGGAAGTTCAGCACGGTTCCAGGTCTAACAGCGCTGTGATTTGTTAGTTGTGTACACTGTCATCAAAATACCTAGGATTTATTGAGAATGACAATATTTAGATACTGAAAAGGAGTTTTCCGTGAGAACAGGTTTCTGAGACCATGTTTTTGCTTCGTGGAGAGCAGCTTTGGCGTGAGCTCTAACTTCTATCAGACAGCAGAGAGCCCACACTGGTGCTTCCCTAGAGGCTGAAGTCCACAGAAATTCAGGTTCTGCTTGCTAAATTTACCATGCCTGGAGAGTGAGTGAGGCTCCTCTTGATCTGCACCAAGACTGGTAATCACAGTGCAGAGTGCTGTGTTTTCTTCACTTTCCTCCTTGGAAAGTCCTCCTTCCTGAAGTCACTAATCGTGTGTAAAACTCAACCTGCCCATGCAGTATTTTATTTTCAGCAATATTTAGCTGTGACTCACTGCACCTTGGAGATGTGCGGTGTATCAGTGTTCAGGTACTCACAGAAGTATGCAATTTTTTTCCTTCTTTCAAGTGCCTGGGGCAGTCAGTGTGTGCTCAACAGCATTTTTGTAAATCCTGCAGCATTGCACAGAACAGAGGTGGTTTCAGAGGAAGGATGTGTATGTGCTATGCTTGGTCTGACTGAATTTTTCTCTAAAATTCAGTAAAATTCAGTAAAACTGAGCAAAACACGTATTAGAATAGTGGTTTTTACACTGTGGAGTCACTTGATGGTGTGTAAACAATAAAATTTTGGATATCTGAAGTTCAGCTGATGGCATGTTAGGACAATTTAGGATTAAGATCACACTAACAAATGCTGGTTTCCCCTGCTTTTGCTTTTATCAACTTTTAAACTGAAATTTTCCAAGTCAGAGGTCTCTGTGATGTGGAGGATGACATGCACTGTATTAGTCACTCATGATAACAGGGCCAGGAAAAATTCCAACTGCATTAGTGCAGAAAGGTGACTTTGGATCGGGATGAGCCCTTTGGCTGCTGAGGCTGGTTGTGTTAGAAGCCTTTGAGAAATAGCAGCAGTTAGTTAGGATTTTTGTGGGTTTTAATATCCCCAAAGGTTCCAGCCAGGCTGAGGGGGGAAGAACATCCCATAAGGCTGGACTTTTCCTGGAGGGATGCAGGAAAGGGTTGTTGGAGGCCAGGCTGAAGGACGTGGGGCAGAGGTGGTTGTGGATGGGTGGGGAAAACAGACAGAAGAATCTCTGCTGGCTGAACCTCCAGCAGCAAAGCCCTTTGTGGAGTTTCCAGCATCCAGCAACCCTTTGTGGAGGGTAGGTGTTTGTCAAGGCTGCTGGTGGGATGTTGGGATCTGGGATGTGCCAGGGCTGAGCGCTCCGTGTCCCCGTGCAAGTGACAGGGGGGTGATGGCAATGGAAGACTTAAACCTTTCAGCTCTTCTGATGACCCTCTGCTGGCACCAGCATGAAGGAATTCCTTTTTCCTTGTGCTGCTTTTGAAGAAGATCCAAGTCTTGGGTGGGATTTCATACAAAACCTTCGGAAGCTTTCCCACTCCCTCGGATGCGTTGAGTTCAGCTCTCAGAAGTGAAGACAGTGGAACCCCAGATGGATGCTGTCCTGGGGTTACAAAACACTCAACCTCCTGAAATACATAATTTTCTCGATGATTTTGTGGTTATGTTGGAAATTGTGACATAGATGTTGAACTGAGGTTTCCAGTAAGATAAATAAGCCTCCATAGGAGTTGGAGACTGGAGCTGGGAAGTGGAGTGCATGAACTGATTTTAACAGGACAAACCAAAGTGTTTTGGATCTTTCTTCAAAATTAACATCTAGGAATAGACTTTCTAATATATCAACTCTTTGCTGACACTCTGCCTGGACTTAGAGTGTGTTTGCAAAGTGTTTAATGATAAATTGTTTGGGCTCTTAAACATAGAGATCAATAATACATCGAGTTATGAGTTTCTCTGGTGCCCAAAAGCAGGTCTTAGAGATCTGTCCTCAATTATCCATTACTTGAAAACTCTAAATTAGTTTGTATTTTCAGGGATCCCTTCACACCAGAAGGAGCTGTTTGTTTTAATTCCCGCCCCCCAATCTATTATGGAAGAAAGGAGAATAAAGAAATACTGAGTATGGTTTTAGCACATTGCACAAAACAAACAAACAAACAAACAAAAAAAAAAAACTAAAAAAAATTGCAATCTGTCTGGAGGGCAGCTCTGATCACGAGGAACCCCAAAGTGCTGTGTAAACTTAACCTGTTATTCAACACCTGAGATCCACTTGGGCATCCACTGGCACAAGTGGCTCTTAGGGACACTTGGAGCAGCTCAAGCAAGAAGCTGAAACTTTGATTAAATTTTTTTTTCCTCCTGTTTTGTACCTCCTTCTCTGGGGAACTTCAGCTTCGATGGAGCCAAGATCTCTTACCTATAATTCTTCTCCTAAAATTTAAATCTCAAATTTTCTCGGGTATTGGATAATTGCTGTTGTTACACCCTCAGCAAAGGAAAAAAGATGAATTTTGGGGATTGTTAGCTCAACATGTGGATTGGGGATGGGCTCAGAGCTGACTGGCACAACGCTCACGCCACCAAAACATGAAGGATTCTTTCTGAGTGTTTAGCTCCCTGTTCCAGCTCGCTATAGGATCAGCTGGATGGAAAGTGAAAAGGGAAGAATAAATGCATGAAAGAGGGCTGGGGAGCTGGACCAGCCTCTTTGCTTTGGCTCTTGGGTGGGCATGTTGCTGTCAGGTCGTCGTTATTTCCTGCCATGCTGGCTTTCTTCTCTGGGTTTAATCTTTTCCTCTCCCTACTGCTGGTTTAAAGGTGTTTCAAGCCACTTTTCCTCACTGGAGTTATTTTCCATCCCTTTCTCCTTTTGGTTCGCTCACTTTCCTCTTTTAACTGCTGATGAGAGGTAGAAAAACAGAGGAGGAAAGTGAATGGAGGGAAGCTAAACTGGGAAGAAAGAACAAATTTCCATATTCTTTGTCCTGATTTGTTAAGGTTCGTGCCATATTTTCAGTCGAGGAGGTTAAGTTTTGTCTTCTGGGTTTAACGAAGACTCAGGAGTGTGTAAGGAAATGATGTTTTCATCTGCTCTTCAGAATCAGCTCTCAGCACAGAATCAAAGGCTGCTGTGCTCT